CCCCGCAGGGGGGGCGGGTTCCCTTCTGCAAGTCTTCGCTTCTGTCTGTGGGTCCCTTGCATGCGTCCTTCCCCAAAGCAAACTCCGGTGATCAGATACTTCTTCCCAGTTTTTGGGCAGGGGTGTGTATTTTCAGCTTCTCTGTCACACACCTACACACATGCACATGGACACTCCTGGGTCTTCTTTCCGTGAGCTCTCTCGCCGTTTCCTTGATCTTTTTTCTTTTTCTTTTTTTTTTATGGCTGCCGAGATCGGCGCTGAAGGGTTTTGACAGGAGTGCCAGACCCCCGCCAGGGTCTCGCGACCCCTTAAGGCCAAGGACGATCATCACCGCCATCACAACGACCCCGGCCGCCCCCTGACCTCCTGGATGCATTGGGCCATGATGGCTGGGGAATATGGGCATTGTAGTCCCAACACATCTGTGTTATCAGTTTGGGAACTGTCGGGATGAGTGGTAGTGAAAGTTTTCCTCGACCTCTTGGCTGAGTTGTCTTTCGGGGGTTGGCCCCTGTTTCGATCCGTTTGGGGTCGTTCGTTGGGATTTCCTAGTTCTGAGCTCCCCCCATGGGTCCGAAACACGGCGCCGGGGAGAGCAAGGGCTGTCCCGATTGGCCAGGTTTTACTGAGCCTAAGGAGAACTGCTGGAGAGCTTAGGGGTTTAAGTATTGAGCTACCCTGCTGGAGGTTGGGAGTTCGAATCCCCCCCCACGTGGCCCCCCTGACAGGGCCTGGACCCGATGGTCCATAGGGTCTGATGATGGTTAAGTCTGTCACCAGCTCTTGTTATGATAGAGCAAAGAAGGAGGGGCACCAGTTTTAAAAACTATTAAAGCCCCCCCCCAAAAAAGGTAAAGCAAGTGAAGAAATGATTAGAAACCCTCTTGATTCCCACCCACCCTTCCTGATCAGTCCGTAACGCCCTGAATGGGTTATACTGCCATGTCTCCCCTGCTTGGCTCCAGCGGACGCGGTTTGTCGTCCTCCCGCTGATTACTCACCTACCACCCTGCAAGGTCGACCGAGTCACAGGTGTGTCTGTGGCTAGCCCAAGATCTCCTGGCAAGCGGCCTTTTGGGGGAACTGAAGGTGGTTTCTCCGAACTCCTGCCTCTCCCTGTAAGAACCCGGTCTCTGCCTTCCTCCACCCATGGGCTGCTTTTTTAAAAATTCTCCAAAGAACCCTTCGAGGTAGGACAGGTAGAAAGAAAGGAAAGGGTGACTTCCACAGCGGAGTGGGGATTTGAATCCGGTGGGCCCCTATGTCCTCATTCCACATTATATCCCTTGCACCTTTGAGCTGTGTTAAACCACTAGTCGGTTTTCCGCACAGCTTTGCTGACATCCCTCTGGATTCCTCCACCACCACCTACTTTGTATACCGACGTGGCCGTGGTTTGATTCCTGAAGATAATTTTAATCGGTACCAATTTCCTTTTGGGTGGGGTGGATGGTAGGGGCGGCTCCTAGCCAGCAGCTTTTGAAATGTTAGCTGCCATCCGGCCGAGCCCATCCGGTCAGCTGTCCTGCCGGCTTTGAGCATCACAGCGTCCAAGCTCGAGAATTGAAAATCCAGCATTTAGAAAGTCCAAAACACTCTCTCTGTGTCCTCTGCCCCTCTCTCCCCCCCATCCCCTGCAGACAAATGTATTCTTGGCCTTAAGGAGGAAATAAAAAAGATGAGCAAAACCCTTCAGTCGGACTGCTTTGAAATTGTTGTAAGGGCGGGGGGAATATAGTGAAGGGAAATTTGCTTGAGTTTTCCCCAAAATGGAGAGTGGGCATCAGTGGCCACCAGGACGGAAGGAAGCATGGAGGCTATTTCGGAAATGGGCAGATCATTTAAGTTGTCCTTTGTTTGCTTCTGTAAATAGGATTTTTTAAAAGTGTTTTGGTTGGAGATGGGGATTTTTAAAAGTGCCTGACAGCCTTCCCTGCCGGAAGAAGAGAGAGAAGTCTTAAAATGTTGATGTCTTGGCTTTGATGACAAGGGTGGCCTGCTTTTTCTCTGTTTGGGGGCTCCCTTTAACTTCCGGGGCCACGTCCCTGTGGTTGGCATGGCCGGACCCTAAAGGGGTCAGGACAGAAAGGCCAACCTGTCTTCACTGACAGCTCTTCCTTGCTGGGAAAGTGGCTTCAGAGCAATCTTTCCTTCCGTCCTCGTTGGCATCATGTGCCGGAGAAGAAAATGGGATGCTCGTGGTGAAAGGGAGGGGTTCCCCCCTCTCGGGTGTTGTGGTGCCAAAGGCTGAGGAGGAAAAACCTCAGGAGAGTTTTGACAGAGTCTCTTTCTTTCCCTCCCCTCTCCGACTCTTTTTTGGCACAGGTACCATGACAAGCAGGATGTGACCAGCAACTTCTTAGGTGCTATGTGGCTCATTTCCATCACCTTCCTCTCCATCGGCTATGGGGATATGGTGCCCCACACGTACTGCGGGAAGGGGGTCTGCTTGCTGACGGGCATTATGGTAAGGCCCCCGCAACTCGGGCGGGCTGCACCTTGGCTTGCGTTCGCCCGGGCAATCGTCAAAGCCCAAATGCAAGGATTTCTCTTTTCCGGATGCAAAGTAGTACTTTGGTACAAAGGCATTCTGAACTAAGGTTGGAAAACAAGACACGTTGAGCAGAACATCGTCTTCAGCCTCTCTGTCCTGGAGATTTTTGTCTGTTGCAGCGACAGGCCCTTCGCTCTGTGATCCTCTGGCTTTGTTTAATGGGGGGGGGAGGGTGATTTAGGACTTAACATGGGATTAACCCATTGTGGCTGGAGAAGAGTCCTTTTCCTGCAATCTCACGCCCCCCCTTCCTTTCGCCTTTCAGGGTGCCGGCTGCACGGCCCTCGTGGTGGCTGTCGTGGCCCGGAAGCTTGAACTCACCAAAGCCGAAAAGCACGTCCACAATTTCATGATGGACACGCAGCTGACCAAGCGGGTAAGAGAGAACGGGGGCTCCCATCACCCTCCTGAAGGAACTGAGGAGGAGGAAAAGCGAATTATGGGTGGGGTGGGGGCAGAGAAGGAAAAAGAAAAGGGGAAAGCTTTTGAGAAATAGTAAGTTCCTTCTCGAGCCTCTGTAACTAGTTGCTTCTTTGGTGGTAACTTTCTTGGCTCTGGCCCAGCTTGTTTTAAGCTCCTTGTTTAGACGGCTGGGGTTTGTTTGATACGATGCCTGGCAGCTGGTCTGGGGGCCTCCCGTCACCCGAAACCTTTCCTATCCTGAAACTCCCCAGGTGAAAAATTCGGCCGCCAACGTACTCAGGGAAACGTGGCTGATCTACAAGCACACTAAGCTGGTGAAGAAGGTGGATTACGCGAAAGTGCGGAAACACCAGCGTAAGTTCCTTCAAGCCATTCACCAGTAAGTCCAGCTCGTTTACCTGCTTTGATCCCCAAAGCCCTGCTCTCCACAACCCCCCCCAACTGCAACCCCATAACCTCCTTTTCACACACACACCTTCCCTTCCCCTCTCTCCCGCCATTGTCTGTGTCTCCCTTCCTCTCCTGCGGGGCCCCTTCTGGAGATGGGAAGGTCCTTTCTCTCTGAGAGGTCAGCCGGTGGCCCGCATCAGAAAACGCTCGTCAGACTGCGACTCCCGGAATCCTCCCCCCCCCCCAGGCTAGGGCTTTCTGGGGACGGTCGTTGGTGTGCAAGTTCGCCTTTCCAAAACCTTGCGGGAGAACGACAAGAATGATGGCCTGCAATCCCAGAAATCTGGGGGCTGTATCGCAGCTGCTCTTGGCCACGTTTCTGTGTCGCCCCGAGAGGGTCGGACATCCGCTGGCAAAGCCCCGGGGCTTCTCAGAAAAGTCTTAAGCCTCGGTTTCCGGCTTGCACGTGGCTCCCCTTGTTCCCTCCAAAAAGCAACAAAAGCTGTGACAGTTGCCAGTCCAGAGCGACACTATCGAAGCCGGACTTTGGCACCTTCCCTTAAAAATATTTGTAAAACCATGGGGATCAAAGTGAGTCGCCGCGCGAAGCTTCGCTTGTTTTCGTGCGGGTGCTGCGACCGCTCGAAAGAACTGAAAACGGCTTAGCCAGAACCACCTCTGCCAGATTTAGTTTGCTGGCTTTTTTGCGTTTTAGAACGGACACAAAAACAACCTCCCGTTGGTAAAATAATTTAAAATTTTAAAAAAGCAGATTCTCTGCTGTTACAGTTGCTACAAAAGCAGTGGCGAAGCTAAATATTCCTTTATTTGGCCACTGTTATTTGTCTTCCCCTTGGAGTAAAGGAGCTCAGGGTTTCACTGGGTCTCAGCCTTACAGCAAACTCCTTTCAAGGGAGAGGATGGTTAAGGAGGAGTGACTGGCTCTAAAATCTCAGGGTGTGTCAACAGGATTCGAACCTGCGACTCTTGCCCGAGCTTGGCCTTGTGAACGGGGTGCTGGCAGACTCACGTCCAGTCCTTCAGACCCTCCAACTCATGGATCTAATACCAATAATTTTGTCAGGATTGTGGGCATAATTCCTTCATCAGGAGCCGTTTGGAAATTTCAGTCCATCAGTAAAATTCGTGGAAGGGTTGCCCTTTGACAAAATTACCAAAATTCCTCAGACGGGCTCGGACCGTGTAAAAAAAGTTGTGGCAGTCTCAAAAATAAAAGAATTATTTTGGAGACTGTTACCTGTTGCCTGTTCTTGAGATTAGTTTTTAACAAAATACTTTCCCAGCTCTGTTCGAACATGGAGGTAAAGAATCGCTGGCCTTCCCAAGATCTTGCAGAACTGCAGGTCCCATCATCCTTCTCTCCCGGCTGTCCTGCTGGGGCTGATGGTTACTGTGGTCCAGCGATGACTCTAAAGCCTCCTGTTTCGACTGCATCTAACATGGGGCTTGGCCCAACGGGGGAGGGCCGGCACCGCCACGGGGTGGTGGTGGTGGCGGAGAAGAAAGTGGGGGAAGCTCCTTTTTACCCCACCGTTGGCACAGGAGGGGAGGGTAGCATCCTGCACCTTCCCTCAAGGTTTCTGGACGAGGCCAACCCTCTCCAGCCAGTGTCGGGCGGGCAGGATTAGAGCGAGAGCAGGGTGGACAAGAGGAAGCAGAGAAAACCCACCCTGGGCCCGCCCGGCTA